CAATGCCAAATAAACACAGACCTACTAAAGACATACACAAATATTCTACTTGCCATGCAATATTTCGGAGGTGAAGCTTCAGTCTGTTATGCAGGCAAAATGCATGCTTATAACATTACGACAAACTATAATGCTCTTGTTAAAAGCAGTGAGAAGAAATGAATCCTTTTGAGTTAAGCGGAAAAAAAAAAACCCAACAATCTAAGCAATAAGTCAACTTCACAGCACATCAGACCACCCACAGAAATGAATGAGTTTCTAACTAGTGAGCTTCAGAAAACGCACGTACGAAATTAAAGCTTCCTGGCCAGCTGCTGGGCCAGATTAAGTCTTTGACAGTACAGGCCTGTGTGTGTGGATTTAGCTCATGGAATTAAATCAGGCCCTCAGCTTCCTTTTTTTTTTTTTTTTTACAGTCTTTTCACTCTCAGTGACAGGAAACAAAGCATGAACGCATGAGCCAGGTAGAAGTGATAAATCTTGAGAAATCACACCAAAATCCTTTGTTCTTATAGGATAAACTAGAGCAGTCTGAGCATCTCACCCGTGGCGCTGGCGCACCGCGCTTCAATCTTAGTGACAAGTTGAGGCAATGCTGGAGCCTCCAGGCAGGACTCAGGGCAGCTCTGCTCCAACACCACCCCTGCACTGCAGGAAGGAAATAGATATTTCTAAAACGCACATCCCAAATGGAGAAGGATCCCATGCATGAGAGAAGACCAATGAAGCGCCGTGTGTGGATTATTTTACTTCAGTCAAAGACAAACCACAGGCTCCTATGAGTTATAGTTAACTTCAGTTTCTTTAGTATTTTATAGATAAAACAGAAGAGATTTTTTTTTCAAGCTTTTTATAGACCATCTACATTTTCTTTAAAAAGCTTGAGGATATTCATGAGAATAGTAAATCAGAGAATGTCTTGCTATAAATAGGAGAAAAATAATGATATCTTTGGATTTTGACAGAAAGACAACACTAACATATATACAGAAAATAAGAAAACATGAATACAGAAATATCACCTGATGCAAAAGTGCTTAAAATGATTTTTTTCATTGTGAAATGGAGCAAATGCAGGTTTTTTTTTTAAACTAACAGTCTTATCTAAGACCTGAACTTCTTTCTTTCCTGTTCTGAATAAGGCACTACACACAAACTAACTCTACTACCCTGAAGAGTAGTATGCTATGATTTAAATTCATAGCATAAAACTAAGCACATATGGTAGTCAGTCTCAGGATGAATTTAAGCACATACTAAGAATCCAGGCCTATTTCATTGCCTTTACTTTGTCTTGAGAGAGAAGGGGAGGGGAGAGAAAGAGAGAGAGAGAGAAGGGAGAGAGAGAGAGAGAGAGAAGGGAGAGAGAGAGAGAGAGAGAAGGGAGAGAGAGAGAGAGAGAGAAGGGAGAGAGAGAGAGAGAGAGAAGGGAGAGAGAGAGAGAGAGAGAAGGGAGAGAGAGAGAGAGAGAGAAGGGAGAGAGAGAGAGAGAGAGAAGGGAGAGAGAGAGAGAGAGAGAAGGGAGAGAGAGAGAGAGAGAGAAGGGAGAGAGAGAGAGAGAGAGAAGGGAGAGAGAGAGAGAGAGAGAAGGGAGAGAGAGAGAGAGAGAGAAGGGAGAGAGAGAGAGAGAGAGAAGGGAGAGAGAGAGAGAGAGAGAAGGGAGAGAGAGAGAGAGAGAGAAGGGAGAGAGAGAGAGAGAGAGAAGGGAGAGAGAGAGAGAGAGAGAAGGGAGAGAGAGAGAGAGAGAGAAGGGAGAGAGAGAGAGAGAGAGAAGGGAGAGAGAGAGAGAGAGAGAAGGGAGAGAGAGAGAGAGAGAGAAGGGAGAGAGAGAGAGAGAGAGAAGGGAGAGAGAGAGAGAGAGAGAAGGGAGAGAGGAGAGAGAGAGAGAAGGGGGAGACAGAGAGAGAAGGGGGAGACAGAGAGAGAAGGGAGAGAGAGAGAGAGAAGGGAGAGAGAGAGAGAGAAGGGAGAGAAGGGAGAGAAGGGGGGGGAGAGAGAGAAGGAAAACAGAGAAGCGGGTGACTGCAGTTCAGTTTTTTTCCACTTTGGAGCCTAGCCTTCCTTTCTGGTCAGTTATGCAACTCAGGGGAAGCAGTATGGTGAGAAAGCACCCACAAGGAGCTGGAAAAGACGCTGCTAGAAGGAAAAGTGTAACTTAGTTAAACAAAAATGACCTAAAGGCAGAAGACAGGTAAATGTTGTTCTTGTTCACAGCCTGACTTAATTATCCTAGTTTACCATTTGCTAAACATTTCCCCTCACTGAAATGAAGGGTTTGACTTGGTTATGGCATAGAATGTTACTGTAATTCTTTCACCTTCCTTAACCTTCATGCATTGCTATGGACACACTATTAGTCACCTATACATATTCAAAATGGCTTAACAGCTTAGGATGTTTTATGGGGCCCGAAGCTTCCTTAAGCATTATGAAAGGTGGCATGCAATGGGATAGCATCTTGTTTTACAGCTACTACAGCTAAACATTATTCTTTTGCAGCTGCAATGACATAACATACATTTCTATTTCACATGAGGGCAAAACCTTGAGATGGTAGTAGTAAATGAAATTCCACAACAGTAATTTGACTAAGTTGTTTAAAGTTCCACTTCAGATTTGTAAAAATTTACACATAAAAAAAAAAAAAAATCTGTCAGCCTTTTCAGGCTGGGTCATCTGTTGCTTTTTCTGTGGAGCAAATGATACCGTTGAATGTCAGACAGTTGAGGAAATGTGAAAGCATGAAACATGAATTTAAGAAGCTAAATGGTGGGATTGCTAAATAGCAACTGTTCCTGTGTAAGCGGTATTTATTTTCACATGAATTATAAAAAAAAGAAGGCTGAAAGAGAAATCTAAAGGACATACAGTTCATTTCCATGCTCTAAGGCAAGATGCTAAACTACTGTTGACAGACATCTCATAATTTGCTCTTAAAATTGCCAAAGGGGTTCTCTCTCCAACATTGCTATTCTAAATTTCATTTAGCTGTGGTTTTACTGAATGGAATTTTTTGGATTTTTTTTTTCCTCTCCCAGTTCATCGAGATAATTTGAAGCTCAAGTTCTGTCCTGCATACTGCTTGAAATTTTCCTACTCTTTAACAGCCATTTAATAGGCATTCTCTATTATATCACTGAAGTTATTAATGAAAATACTGAGTACATGAACCCCCTGAGAGACTCTTGTTCAATCTCACTTGACAGGTTGATGGTGAATCACTGAGAACTGCTTCTTAGAGTACAAATTATGTAGGCATTCAAAGAATGCTTTTCCTTTTACTTGCCTAAGAAAATGTGCCATGCTATCAAAACATTAAAGTCAAAATATTTATGCTTACCTCCCCCGTAACACAAATTGTCAAATTCTCTGAAATACGGAAAAATGGTTTCATAAATTCCTATTGGTAGTTTGAAACTGATGATAGCCATTTATATTTTGGGAAGAAAAGCATCTTTAAATCTGTTTCCTTTATGATGCTTTCCAGTTTTGTGCCTCAAAACTGATTTTTCTAGGGTGTATGCAAAGTAACAATTCCATAAACAATTTGTAATGTCATGCATCTTTATAGCCCTTATCACATCAGCCCAGTTTCTATTAATCTTTGAAAAAATAGCCTAATTGCTTCCCATGAGTGGCATAATCATGGAAATATAGAATGATTCAGGCTGGAAAGGCTCTCTGGAGGTTCAGGCCTCTGATCCAAGCCTGTAAGGTCAGGCTGCTCAGAGTCTTGCTTAGTCAAGTTTTCAGGGAATGAGAAAAAGCAGCATTCAGGTTGGATTAAAAAGAAGGTATAGTGGTATCCTTTACACATGTTAAATTATTTTCTTTCCACTTCAGCCTCGTGTTCAATTTTCCTGTTCATATCCTACAACTTTTCTTCTCATATACCTAACAAAATGAAAAGGAAATAGGAAAATGAAAAGTTCATAGTCCACTTTTTTAAATTAACTTATTTTATATGAAAGAGAAGGATTAAATTTTTAAGGATTTTAAATTTTTATTTTAGAAATCCTAGTGTACTTACACTTATCTTCCCTTGACCTTGCAAGAGAAATTGCTGGAGGCAATCCTCACACAGATGGATAACCATCTTGGCCTTTACCTGAATGGATAAGATTAAACCAAGACTTTGACCATGCTTACTGGTTTTTTCTAATGTCAGAAAGCATGAAAACAGGAAATTATTAAGAAATTATTAATGAATAGCACTAGCAGGCAGATTCCAATAGTGAGAAGAAACTTCTGAGAACAAAATCAAAACCAAACCAGAAATACAGGTACAAGTTACCCTAGCTTTTACTGACCTGTAATTCAGACAAGGGCTCATGGGGATATGGTTTCCCTCTGCCACTGTTTCTTTTTGTCTCAAGGTGCTTGATGTCGTGTAATATTACATATATCCGACATATCGCATATTTGTTTAATAAATTGGGGCAAAAATATCTTGGAATGCAGAATATTAGTGTATTTCAAATAATTGAAGGCTTCTGTTCCCATTTTACAAAGAAAATTATGGGACTTTGAAACACAGAGAAGCAAGTGTATTCTGTAAAATTCTCTAACACACCCAATACTGCAAATTTTGTCATTTCTTTTTAAGAACAGACTAGTGTATCAGCCATCTGCCACTAACTTTAGCCATCAGTCGCTACTGAAGCATGGTTTCATCTTTCACTAAAGGATTAGACCATGCCATTCTCATCTCATATAGTCTTGTTCATCCATATATTTAACACCTTATTTTTAAGTATCTCTTTTCTGGTTATACCACAGAGTTTGTTATTCTCAGAGGTGATAAGGAGATGATCTGCGCAAGTATGAGAAGAGCCTTCGATTAAATCTTCCAATAAACTCTGAAAGAGATATTAACTCTCTTTGTTGTGGGTGCAGTTGAATCTTTTCTGTTCTCTTCTTTTGCCAGGAAGATATGAGTGGCTGGAGTGTTTGATTCTATATATAACTAGTTGATGTCAGCTGGATGCCAACCCCTTTGAAGAGGATCAGCCCCCAGTTTGTCTCGGTACTAGGTACCATGCAGATCCAAGCACAACGTTAGAAACCATCCTGGACCAGGCAGGTCATCCCCATTCATAACTAACTCCTGAACATTCAACTAAAGACTGGAGATCACTTTTTTCTGCACAACAAAACAACAGGGTAAGTGCATTGTTTCCTGGAATATTTTGACATTGTCTGTCCTACAAACTGTCATATAGAAGACATTTACTTAATCTCTTGACTTTGGAATTAAAAAGATGTTGATTTTTCACCTAGTCAGAAATGCACTTTATTTACAAAGCCAACACATCCTATTTAGCTCCTAAATTCTTTATCAGATTAAGAAAAAGTGTGTACATAACTATCTTGGAGCTCATAAAACAGTATTTAATTAAAAATTAGCTAATATTTTACATATTTCAAAATAATGCTTAACTGTGAGAAGGCCTAGACCACTGCCACTGATATTGCTACAGAGTCCATACAGCCAAAGTTTGTTCCTCGGGCCTTTCTATCCATCAGTATATGTCTTATCATCTGCCTTGCAAGCAATAACTGCTACTGCATTTTGCACCATTCAAAATGCAGTATTTAGATATCAGAACCAAATTCACTATTCAGCCATTCTGAATATAATATCAGAAATAAAAGTTGGCTGAATTGTGTAAGCTGGCTCAACAATGTAAAAATGTGTTTTTTTTCAGCAAGGAAAACTGTATCAGAAAAATCACAATGTTATCACATTCTGCCATGGTCAAAGAGAAGAAACAACAAGCATCAGCCATTATGGATGAAATACACAGAAATGGTATAGAGCTAAAACCAGCTTACTGTATATTTGATATTCTCTAGCCCCTCTAATATGTTTATTTTTTAATCATAGAGTTTAATTCTCTTACAGCTTTGTCTCTGGGTGTTCTGCCATAAATAATCTTGCGGGAGTATCATGCTGCCTATGGTAACTAATCCTTTTGTAGTTGCCTCTTTTCATTTGAAAGCTATTTTCAGATGAACAACTGCTGTGGAGGAATGAAGTAATCTAACAGCTGATGTACATTCTGCTAAGATAGCCTTTCAGAATATTATTTGGGGTTAATAACATGACTTCATCCCATTTGAAAAGGCTATCATACAAGAAACACACTGAACTGTCCATATATTCTTTTTTGCTCTGCTTCACTTTGCTTTTTTATATGAATGATGCAAATATTTAAATCAATTGTTTACAGCTCTCTTCCTCCACCTAAAAATTAATCTTTGGAACTAACAAATCTTACTAGTATATGGCAGTTCTAATGATGCATAAGCACCAATGAATCTTGTATGCAGATACTTTTGAAATGGAAGACTGATTTTCAAAAACAAGTTCTTAAAAATAGGCTTCTCGTACGAGAATTTCAAAAGCAACAAACCCAGCTGGGAACACAAATCTGCTTGGCTTTCATTACGGAGGTACTGGATGCTTTAGGAGAGCCTTCCAATCCTACATCTCCATGAAGCCTTTTTTTTTTTTTTTTTTTTTTTTTTTAACATCTGTATAAAGGACTTAGTCTTTCAAAAGTGCTAAGCACCTGAGAAGTCTCTGAGAACACAGAGAACACCACTAGTATTGAGCATTTATGAAAAATGACACAACTCCCTTAAGGCACTGAACATGAAATTCCAGTTTTCAGTTGAACTGAAAATCCTGTTTGTCATGTTTTCCTCCCAAGAATTTGGGGATGGTCTGTACCCACTCACTGACCAAGGCAATTCCAGGGAGAGTAGGACTGCAGACAAAGAATTTAGAAAAAGGAGCTATGAATTGAAATGTCTGGACCTACTCCTTCCAATATTCCCACAAGATTTTTTTTCTGGGAAGTTTTCTCAGTGAGAAAAGAATCTGGCTGTATATTAGGAATAGTGTAACAATTACATTTAAAAAAGCTTTCTTCTGAAGAGCTCGATTATCTCCGAGCAAATTATTTCAGCAACTAGAGATAATTTAAGCAAACATTTCCTTCCACTTCCACTGAAAACATACCCAGTTCACAAACCAGTCTCTCCTTAGCGATCTCTTTAGAGCTCTGGGATTTTTGTACTGTAGCCTCAAGTAATAAATGTGTCTCAATTAGTCTGTAAGCTCTTCAGGGCAGGGAAACTGTCTCTTATAATATTTGTTTAGTACCAGGCATTTCACATTGTAAATGTTCCTTCTATTCATAGCAATACTAATAAATCTACCATACCAATCTACCCTGCAAATCACTGAAGTTATTGGAGAATCTGTGTGAATGCTTGGCATTTGATTTGCATAAGCACTCCTTTTATTATTTATGTCTTACCAGATCTGCTGTCAAGTTTAGATTTGTATACCTAGATAGGACAGCTTACTCTACAAGACATGCTGTGATGGTGGTTACTGAGGGCAATGATAAAGTGTATGTCCTACTTTTGCACCTTCTTTGGATGTTGGGGTTATTTAAATGTTAAAAATATGCAGAATTTCATGAAATAGTAATGCTGTCAAAGAATCTGAAATTTATAGCTGTACAAGCTAGGATAAATCATTCAAGAAATAAAAGGATAATCTAAGCCATAATTAGACAAGGTAAATGACAGTTCTTTGGGATGAAATCTGAAGAGCAAATATATTCTCTTAGGAAAATCTGGTAGAAATGTAGTTTTTGAATCTCAAAATTCAGCTCTCTTCATTTTAAGTTTAATTCAGCCCACTTAACCTGAGGTGAAAGGTGAACTACTGTCTTTCTGGAGTTTGCACCATTATTAGTAATGAAGGTCCTGCAACCAAAAATTATCTAAGTGTACTGTTACAACCAGAAAAGTATCTACTCAGTCTCACAGACCTCTGAGACTCTCCACTGTTAACAGTCGTAAACAGCAACAGCAGATATTTTTTTTCAGTAGCACAAGTCCCTACCCGTGCAAGCTGAAAGACACACAGAAACTTCTTGCATTTTTATTCCAGAATCTTTCTTATTGCAATAGTTTCAAATAAACAGTAAAAATGAAACTCCTTATAAAAGAGTCCTTATAAAAGGACTTAAAAGTCCTTATAAAAGTCCCTTGCTTTTCGACTGGCAGACTTGGACTGTGACATTGATGAGCCTAGTTGTTAGACATATACACACACGCACACATTTACACATACAGTTTTAAAGAAACCTTTGAATTTCAGCACGTTAGCCTTCAATTATACTTAAATCTCATGCACAATTCTGTATCATATCTTAAGTGCATTCTTCAGTAGACACATGATTTTTCTAACAGAGTAACAAATTCTTATTTCTGATACTATGACAAACATTCACTATCTGGTATTCATTATTAAACGTATAAGATAGATGAAGATATTTAGAAGACGATAAATTGAAGGATTAAAGGGGGATTAAAGGGTGAATAGAAGAGGAAATACATAAATGAAAAATATTAAACGAAATCTGTTATGATCTTAAGCCTGGGACAGAGAAGATTTGGCAGGAACAAATAAAGAAATGAAGCTAAAAGGTTAAGATTGGGATTAAACTATGAATTAAACCTCCAATATTAATTTACGATGACCATTTATGATTTTTTTTCTGGTGCATTTGAATAGATTTTTTTTTCATCCTCTAAATACCCTCTTTTTCTCATTTCTCATCACCTTTTTCTGGAGAGACACTGAAACAATCCCTATACACATCATAAAACTAGACAGTAGATAAGATTTTACTTGACAGGGGATTCAAATGAGCTTCACACCTATGTTTCTGGGACGCTACCTAGATACACAGCAGTACACAACTGTGGGGTACAAAGTACCTTGGAGCCTCTCTCAGTTAACTTTTACAAGAATAGTATGCATGCAAGTGAACAGCAAGGCTCAAAATAGGCACCATTCAGCATGGCCCAGAAGAATAGGAGTGGTTTGGACAGAGATACTCAGTCACTTTGCCACTTCAGTCTTGCAGGCTTACACACTGCCTACCTTGTAGACAGTGAAGTTTTCTCTACATGAAGGCATTGCTGATCTGAAGAGTAAATTGCTTACCTCTTACTAACATAACCCCACCCAACAGTCATACCCTTGCAGTAATCTTGAGAAATTAAAGTGTCAAAATAGAGTTGTGGGCCAAAACTTCAGGCTACAGCCCAATAACTAGTGCCCTTATCTCAACCACAGAGCCAAAAACCCACCACTATCTGGCACTGATATGGCATTGGACAAGCTGAGTCATTTTCTTCCATGTTAAGTACTCTTTGTTTTGTAGTTACATCTTAAATAACAGGGCGGTGAGAGGGTGTTAGGATTCTTTGCTCATACTATTTTTAAAGCAGAAGTGCATGCTCCTGCTCACAATATAGCTGGCTTGATCTTGCTCCAATTAAATCTACTGCAAAGAAATCAGTACAAACAAAAGTGGATCAACAACGACGTAGTCCAGGGTTTGCAAAACTGTTCTCATGTATTAAGTGGAATGCTCAGGCTATGGAGCTTGGGCTAAACATTTAATGTGGCCTAAACATCTCGGTCACATTTTCCCAAATGTCAGCAATTCACAATCTTTTTCCAACATGAAGTTACCAGGAGATATACTGCTCCACATGAAACTCTAAAAATAAAAATAAAACCCTCTTTTTCTTCTTCCCCCCTTTTTTTTTTCCCCTGGCAATATTAACTTTGACATTAGGTGTTTTCTGCAGCTAATTAATTTGTAATGTTAATTCTAAAGCAAACTTCCTGTGCACTCACCCTGAAAGTAAGAAACAGTATTTTATGTACAGTTTTCTCTCATTTAATTTTAATGCACTGCAAAAGTCAACACTTGTAAATACTGTAGATTACAAAAAATCTAAAGAATAGAAGAGTTTATTATTAAGCAAATAGCAGAATGTCACTTTGAACTCAGATCAAAGAAACTTACCGAACCATGGGTGTAATCCTCAAAATATGCTGTGTCTTCCTATTTTTATTCCTGAAGTTCACGAATAACTGAAGAGAACAATGCCAATTAATATAATATGAATATGTGGCAATAGGAAATTTCTCAAAATTTATTTTCTATGTGAACCAATTTTTGTTATATTTATTAAAGCCTATTAAGTTTTAAGTAGAAAGAAATTTGTACAAAATAGCATGTTCATTTCCACAGAGATGACCAATAAAGTTTCTCATATTTGGAGTTCTCTACCTACAGTCTCAACTGATCTCCTTTCTCCCAATGCATCTTCATTTTCAAAATCTCTAAACCCCCCACACTAAAAACACAGAAGCAGCTATTCACAAGCAGTGAAGAAAGGAACACTGCGTCCAATAATTCAGTTTTTGTGGCTGTGAAGTTTGAAGTTTGTTAGTTTTCTTGCAACTTTCCTCTCTGAGTTAAAAAAAAATCCTAAATACATTGCAGGAAAAATAGACTATATTTTTTCAAATTGATTTAAAGAGGAGAAGAATCTCTAGAAGCATATTTTAATTCTCTGCTAGATTTCTCATTTTCATATCCTTTAGCTTTATTTCAAAGGCCTCAAAAATGCTATTTAGCAGAGAATTTCAAACACAAACTTTTCTTAGAGCACAAGCATGCCCTGGACATTAAAAAAAAAAGTCAAAAAAAGTTGAATGAATATGAATGAATCATTGAACACTAAGCAATAAGAAACAAGCACATTTTTTTCAATGTTACTTTATTCCTCTGTCCAATTCAGGACACACGAAGTTAATTAAAGGTTTGATCTGGGAACACATAGGGCAGCTGGACTTTTGGTACTGATTTCAGTAGAAGCAAGGTATTACTAACTACTAAGACGCAGTGTGCAGGACATACAGACCTGATTTTCGGAACAGCTAAGTACCATTCAACTGAAATTAACTAGAGGCTGGGATACTTAGCATCTTCAAAAATCAGTTTTGTAGTTTTCAACACTGCTCCAGAATTTCAGAAGAGTGACTAATTTCACTAACCCCGTATGAAGCTACGTTATGTGTTCCGTATGTATGCATTGATACGTTGTTGGATTTCAGGCACAATAAAAAGAATTTAAGAAAACAGGCATGTATTAATCCATTCTGTTGCAGTCTCACCCAACCTAGACCTTGGAAGAAAGGTCAGCACTCCCAGAGATATCATGGTAGAGGAACTATCAACCCTCAGCAACAGAGGCGCAAGACTCTTTAAGAGACGTCAGAGGAGATCTGACAAATACACCTATGAAAATTATCACTATGTAGCAAACAAGCCAAGAAATGTGAGTATTTTATAATAATTCCTTAATAAAACACAGTGAAACTGGCTTGGGATTCCCTTGGTGCTCACGATACATTTTGTGCATAATCTGCCTGTAGCTTTGGAAGAAGAATAAAAAAAAAAAAATCCATGATGAGGCTAATATGAAGTGAATCTTTGTATCTTTGTGTATTCCTATAGAAAAAACAAAAATCTGAAGATCATAATGCTTAAGGGCCTCAGAATCAAATCATTCCCATTCTTTCTACCTCAGGCTAATAATGATCAGAGTACTTACCTCATAACAAGTTACTATTAAAAATTAATTGGTTAATATTCAAAAGTTGGATGAAACAGCCATCTGCTTCATGTAGCCAGTATTTTTTTTTAATAGGTTAGTGGTCTCAAAATAAGACTCAGGCAAGAAAATGACTCTCAATACTGCATTAATACACTCCTGCCCTGACTGTTTCAACAAACCAATAAAGGATAAATACTTTCACAGAATTATTATTCTTTGAACTAATTCCTCAGGAACTGGGTTAAAGCATAAGTGACACCTTGGGAATTCTCATGGCAGGAACTAAATGCACCTGACATGTGCCTCATCTACGGCTTTTGCGAAATACTTAAACTTTTTGCTAATCTCTGAAAATAGGGACAAAAATTTTCATAGTTTTTACCTAGCTCTCAAATGAGCTGCAAGGTTTAATTATCTGAGAATGAACTTTGTGCCCAATCTCATTCTGTGTATAAGCAGACCCTTTAATTCCAGGGCAATTTCAAGTCCTTATTGTACTAAATTCTGCTTCTCAATCACACGCATGCATCCCTATGACTTCAGATGTGCAAGTATATGACTAAGGAGTAGAATTAGTCCCAGTACCTTTTAAGTTGCTTAGAAGAATAAAAGTGTTGCAAAGTTTAGTTATTATTAATTTACCTAGAAAATGTTTCTTAGGAAACAGAAATTCTCTTTTCACAGAATCTTCTTCCACTAACTTGAGGTGGTGCTACAGGTGGGTTAGGACCTAACAGAATTCTGTTACCTCCAACAGAATCCATAAAAGAAAGATCTCAACTGAATTTTTCTTTAAATGAAAAGTACACTTACAATAATAAAGATAGTGACCACGTAATGTACTGTTATGATGTAATATATAGTTTGTATTGGTACAACTAGCAGATGAGTAATTCATTACACGGAACAGCAAAGCACTGAATAGTTTATTCGTAGTGTGCTTTCATCAGTAATACCTGTCACAAATGCACGTACACACATGTAGACATACTTGTAATTAATCAGAAATACTGATGGAGTGTAACTCATCACTCTAAGGAAATCTTTTGTCCAGCTGCACCCCAGGAGGCAGCTCTGGCACCAGAAAATGAGACAGTCATTTCTGGTTTACATCGTCTATGATAATCACAACGTTGAGGAATCTTACAACAGTCAGAGAGGTGATTATTTGAACCGAGTTCCACATTTACACTATCACATCTGAAATGTCTAAAATATTATTTTTGTTCCATTCTCGAATTCTCTACATTTGTGGCCACCAAATCACAAATAGAGTTATTTACCTTTCCACACTAAAAATTAATTTATGTTCTAGTATCCTGTGTCACATAGGAAAAAGTTTTATGTTCCTTTTTTTTTTTTTTTTATGATGCAGCTAATTCACACTTGTCTGGTTATCCATTCTGCAGAAATTACACAGGAGGATCCAAATGGGTCACACTTGAGTTTTTATGAAGCTGCATTTTCATAAAAGAAAAATGTACAATTCATACAATGTATTGTATGAAAAATGAATAGATCTACTGAACACCTCAAACTAAGCCTACTACTTAAAACACTATGAATAACCTTTTCCCACTGTAGACCACTAACTACTCCTGTTCAAGTCAGCTGGAATAAAGGTAATCCAATGCAGTCCTTTGGAAAACTGCACCTGAAAGTCTGCAGCTATAAGTACTTAGGAATTAACTTGCTGGTCTTTGCTTTAATCTTTATCTGAACCAAAAGAGAAACCAGAATGATAGACCTTAGTCTGCTGTTTGTTACTAAGTCTCTCTCAGAATTAATCATTTCTGTCAACTGAAGTTGGAGAGATGAGATTTTCAAAGTCTGTGGGCAAGAGGCAACAGTTTGGCTTATTTAAATCTGTAAATACCAGTAAACTTAAAATTCTAAGCTTTTAACTACCAGTTCTGGATGGAAATGCTCAGTCAAGAGCATCTCCAACTGCTGCCACACGCTACCTTTCTCTCTACTGAGTATTAGAAACTACACAGATAAAAAGTGAGTATAGCGTATGCACGCTGTACAGTCAGCATGATGTTCTCACATGAGCAAAAGGAAGAAAAAAAACGCCTCTCTGGTTTCTGTTCCCCTCCCTTAAATTCCTGTTCAGGCATCATTGATGTTATCTTCATCACCTTTATAATTTTGGCCATCACAGTTAAAATAATCTTTCTAATACTTTAGGATGGTCCAAAATACACTGCCTTGATCTTTATTTGTTTCAAGTTTAAACAAGTATTATTTGTTTGCTTTCCTACTTTAAGAAATTCTTGCTCTAAAACAGCCTGCACTTAAATTGCTTTTAGAGTATGTGTCATGGCTAAAATAAGATACTGACTTCTTACGAGACTCCGATTCTATATTTAAGCAACAATGATTAAGCCTTTAGATGTTTCCTTAGAACCGATGACCTGCTAGGAGGGTGGAAAACAACAGCCTATCGCTAATCTCCAGAAAGCGGCCTGCGTTGGAATTGTTATTTCTTTTATAAATAAAGGAAAAGAGAACCTCAAACAAAAGCAGTCTGACAAATGCAATGAATTTCAACTGTTAGAGGAAGAAAAGCTTTGAAGAACCAGACCTTTGAAAGTCAAACTGTTCAAATCTTCTTTAGCCCTCAGGTAGTAAGGCTGCCCAGGCTGGTGTGTCTAGTTTCTCCTGCCTAGTGATCAGACTGCCACATGTCACTCGTCTCCTTGCCAGGATGACTAGATCTACAGCTTGCTGTAAGCTACACAGCTTGTAGACACAGGCAGATAATGTGATGAGCAGAGTAAGCAGCAGACTGGATGAACTCTTCTAGTAGACTGCATGTTAATTAATTTTTCCCTCAATCAATGGATCACAAAATTAGGAAAAGGTCAGATAACTCAAATGGACCATATTTGATACCAGCTTCACAAGTTTTGCTCATCCAGTTTCCAACACCCACAGCCCTTGAATCAAGCATTCATACTCCTGTGATTTAGACTTTTAAATTGTACTGGAATACCATTCTTAACACTGATAAATTACTCATTTTTGCTTACACAGTCAGTGCAAGAAGAGAGTTGTGAAACTGTTTCATCTTGTAACGATGAACCAGAATATCCCAAGAAATGGTATCTAGCAAACAGGGTACCAAACAGCAGGACATTATGCCTCTGGACAACATATCCTAGGTCTCAGCCCTGCCTGTAAACTGGACTAATACTTCACTTCTCAATAAAGAAGCATTAAAGACCTCTGTGTTTGCCTATGCTCTTAGTAGTGTTTATTTCTATTTGAATGCAGCGTGGCGAGCCCATACCAAGTGTTCAAATGGATGGCCTCAGTGTCGAAGGAATTCCCCAGCACGCCCCAATGACCCCGCCTAATACACCTGATCCCCGGAGCCCACCGCATCCTGAAAACATTGCCCCGGGTAATATATGTGTCTTTGTACGTAGCATAGAGTTAATACACATTTCACAGCATAGAAAAGAGCTCTTTATCCAACAGTATCATTAACAGGAATTTGTTGATGGAGCTACAGTTACTTTCCACTCATAAATTGAATCAGGTAAGAATTAATCTTAGGCTCCCACAAAAATGAAGGCAGTGCATATTAATTGCTTTGCTCATTTTCAAAGTTCTGCCTTTCAAAGACATGCCTTTTGCACTACTTTTCCCCCAGATTTAAAACATGTATCAATAGAAACTGTTCTTCTATTGGTTTGGTTAGGGTAAAAGGCTGCTATGTCTTCTGAATGAATATTGAGGAAAAAAAAATCCTCAGATGTTCAATCAAATTAATATACTGACTTATCTTCACCAATTCTTAATTTCTAATCTGCAGTAAACTTTTCAGTGGTCTGGAAGTTACCCACTGCAGTTTAATTACCCATAAATGTAAATCTGAAGTCACTGCAAGTTTCGCTAGAATCCTTTACGGAAGAGTAACTTAGAAGGGAATCTGTCTCTGGTTGTATAGACTGTTCTGCATTATGTAGGTCCTTAACTGTGAGAGTACTGTTGTGAATACAGTGAGCTACAGAAAGGCCTTATTTGTATTCTTTAAAGACTGAAAAAGGCTAATTTGTTTTAATTTGTTTAATTAGTGATATAACCCTTCTTCCTGTTTATGAATTATCCATGAGCGGACTTTTTGCAAATTCATTCTTTGTTCAGAATTATTCAATGCATGTTTTGTGCAGACCTTTTCCAGGCTATGTAAACTGGGTCAGTGCTACTCTGTTAGTGACTGCTGAGATTCTGTGCATCCACAAGACAAACACAATGCAAAGAGAAGTCATCTAACTCCACTGCTAGGACATGAACAAAATCTTTGACCTTCCTGTAGGCAGCATATGTTTGTCTCAATTATAATGGCTGTGAGCCTAACTTTTTTTAATGCTTTTGAAATATTTCACCCAAAGACTATAGAAATATACTAATGTTAGCCAAAATTCTGACTTTAATTTACTTTTGTTTATTTGGTCCAAGGACTATGCAGATATACTTTGGTTTCAAGCACATACTTATGACAATAGAAGCTTAAATAAAACTAAAATAAACTATCCTTAGCCTCATAGAAGAGTGAAATACTTCAGAGTGATTATCTAAAAGGCTATAAATACCCCTCTGCCAGCTTTCTGTTTGCATAACTTCGGCAAACCACTCAATTTGATTGTTCGGTTTACCTCACTGTGAACTGGTTGTATATTACTTCCTATTTACATAGGATTGTGGTAAGGAAGCAGAAAACACAATGTATTATTATAACAAGTTTTCTTCATCTCCTTGTAGGATATTCTGGGCCACTGAAAGAAATCCCTCCTGAAAAGTTCAACACTACTTCTGTGCCAAAGTATTATCAGTCTCCCTGGATAGAGGCCATTCGAGATGATCCAGAGCTCCTGGAGGCTTTATATCCTAAACTCTTTAAACCTGAAGCAAAGCCAGAACTGCCTGACTACAGGAGCTTTAACAGGTAAAGAAGAAATACTATGATGTGGAATATTTCCATCGGATGCAAAACAAACACACGAACAGAAAACCCTACCACCTGCGTGTGCAAAATATGTAATAAATATGAACACATGCCCAGATTACAAGAAGACTTCAAGACCCTTAAAAGGGAAACTAGCCTTTCTGTACAGTACAAACTAATTTCACAACCCAGAATAGAAGAAAAATGTTGACAGTATTGAAAGAAAAAAAGAGAAACAAGTGTAGCCAACAAATGAGAAGCACAGGATATACATTTAAACCTCTTTCAGTATTTCTGTTGATTTTGGTAGATATCAGATCATGATCTTATAAGAGGTATTGAGGGAGACCCTCAGTTAAAATTTGTCTTGTAAACTGTTTACTGCACAAAATAGGCTTGGAGAATCATAGTTCGAGGAGTTATTTATCAAACAAATTCTCACACAAAGAAATTAGCAGCTTTCATCTTCTACAACCTTTGAACCTTAGGCAAAAAAAATAATAGATATCACTTTAAAAGTAGGAAAATAGAGTAACCAAAATAAAATAAAAATAAAAGAAAGAAAGAAAGAAAGAAAAAAAAAGTAGTTACCAGAGCAAAAATGCTGTTTTTGGAGCAGAGGGGGATCTCAGTAAAATTATTTACACAGTAAGTATATTGAGGCTTTCAGTGGAACTTCCTGATATATTGACATTTGTTGGTTTTGTAGCTATTTTGGAAGTTTTAAAAACATTCTCGTTTAAGTCTTTTGCTTTCATTCATACCATGCATAGTATATTTATTTACTGAAGTCACAAAAAAAAATTCCTTAAATGGCCCATGGAGGGGTCCAGACAGCCCAGCCAAATCAAAGCCCTTTCCCAGAACAACAGGTGGCAATCTACTGAAAAATAAAATAGTTCACATCATTATAAACTTAGAGAAAAATCTCACAGTATCACTTGTGTTCTATAGCAAAGGTGGGCCTCAACCACGAGTGCAACAAGAAAAAAATCCCCTATTCACCATCAAAATTGGCACTGTAGACACTACACTAATTTTGCCCTTGCAACAGTAACGTACATCACCATGTTAATAATTAAGTCTGTGTGGCACATTCTGCTCAGAAAACAAAATAACAAATGCGTATCAGAGAGATGTGGCCACAGCTGCTAACACTGAAACAGTGACACTATGGTTATTGTAATCACAAAAAAAAAAAAGCCTAAGATATATATACATACATGGAAACAAAGATAGAATCAGTCAAGAAACTTAGTGTCAAGTATGCCAGTCATTACTGCAAAAGAAAAGATCACAAGTGCCATGCAGGCCCCATTAATAGTGATATGTAACTTATGATCTTAATGGTATGTGATGGCTTCTTTGTGGATTTTCAGTTTCGTGGTGCCAGATTCTGTCAGTTGCCTTCTTCTTAACTCTAACTTCAGATTTCTTTCTATGAGGATTTTCTCTATATATGCCATGACAGTGGCTTATCATAGTCCAAATATCTTAAACACATGTCCATATATACAAGCAAATGACTGACAATCTCCCTGACAAACGCCATAAATAGTAGAACTGGACACTTAAATCTAGGTCCGGACTATGGAATTGGTTAAATCAAAATGCAAGGCGGGAGGATACAATACATGTTATTTTAAGCAAAACCAGTGCTCTTCTCACAGAAAAACAAAACAAAACAAAAACACACACACAAAACACACATAGAAGAGTGAGGTGCCTGATTATGGAATTCAAAACAGTCAATATACTGAAAATTCCAAGCTAGTCACAGAAAACACTAGAGAGAAGTCTTAAATTTATCATTGTTCAAGACTATCGGTACCTAATCCTGGATGGCTATCTCAGATCAGGGCTGCATTAAGGACCTCCTGCCCTGAAACAGAGCAAGGGTCACATGGATTCTTTTCAGATGTGATTGAGAATAAGGTTCATTACTTTGGTAAGACCATTTTCCTAGGATGTTGCCAACTTGGGTTTTATTTCTTAACCCTGAGGAGAGACCTGGTTCCTGCCTCTTCCAGAGAGGAGGTGGGGACATTCTCGCCTTTTAAGACCTGAGACACTGTAGAGAACACAATGAACCTCTTACCCGTATACATCCTCTATTCCTAGCTGAGTGATTATGAAGCTTGCTTAGAGAAGGAGAAACTGGGGCCCCCATTTTCATTCTCCAGCCTTTTTGTACATTTTCTTTACTGCCTACAGTAAATGAAGTATGCTGATTTAGGAACAGAAAGCAGAACCTGTATCACTCTGCTATTAGTTGTGTCCCCTGATGTCCATACTAAGAGTCATTCTCTGTTTGATCCAACTAGTTCTATATTCTAGGTAGCTTTTTTCCTTCAATACAAAGGCCTTCATGCCCCTTGGAGTTGTTATGGATAAGTATTCAGGTCCACTCCTACAAAGTGGACTGATACCTCATTCAAAGTAATAGAACTGAAGAAATCTAAAATTTCTTTCAAAAGTCAAAAGTTCAAAACTATGATGATAATCACCTATTATTATTAGACACTGAAGGCACTGGAACAGGCTGCCCAGAGAGGTTGTAGAGTCTCCTTCTCTGGAGATCTTCAAAACCCGTTTGGACGCAGTCCTGTGCCACGTGCTCTAGGTGTCCCTGCGTATGCAGGGGGGTTGGACTAGATGATTTCTAGAGGTCCCTTCCAACCCTAAGCATTCTACGATTCTATGATAAGTTCAACACTATTAGCCACTATTATTGAATGAAAGCACCACAATGTCCTGTTTTGCTCCAAACTTGCTCCAATAGCATACTGTGCATGCTCTCACATGCGCAAGGTTAGGCAAAAGATACATAATAACACCTAAGCTTTGGCATAAGATAGATGCCGATACTCTTATAGATAAGATAATGGCGAATTTGAGCTTTAGCACAAGGAAAACATTGTCATCTCAGGAATTTAGCAGCCTCTGGGCTTTATGTGAACGATAAGGTACCTCTGGAACTTATGTGCCTAGATGCCATTAAGTCATTCTGTGCATCTAGGTCACAGCATCATTGATTTCTTTAATTGTAGTCTTGAAGTGAGAGAAAATGATAGTGCAACCACTAAAGTATGATATAATTACAACGTTTTGTTATCAGAGCTCATATTAATCAAGGCTATCATCCTTTGTCATTCAGTAAAGCATCATTATGTTTATACTTTGCAAAACACTAGTGCAGTCACCATTAATTGGTGAAGGGGGAGTTAACAGTAAATGAGGCACACTGGACTCGCAAAGGAAACAGCTTGAGATTCTTTCAGTAGTACCTGTTAAGATGGAAGTCAAATTCAGGTTTCTTTCAGCTTCCCTTGCTCCTAGTCAAGCTGTAAATACACCAGGACTTCAGCAGCTGGGAAGCCTGATGTGTTGGAACACACTGACAAAAGGATGATTTATAAGTGTATTCAAAACCAAAGAGAATGCAGACTTTTTCTTCTACTGCCAACAGTAAAGAGCTCACTCAAGACCATGTATCACCGCAAGTTTCATCATTAACTTCAGTGGGAGCAGAATCAGATATAATGCATTCAGAGGCACTAGTCTGAGTGTGGTAGGGACCCAGACTAGTTGCAGGGATCTGGCAATGCTGGCAGGTTTATGGAAAAAGAAGTAGTGACAGCAAATATCAAGAGCACTTTCCTCCGGAGGCAGAGCTTTCTGTGAGAAAACCAGTAAGTAATGCTTAAACAGCAGAGAGCACTAAGCAGAGTGCACAATCAGAGAAACTGGGTTCTGAGGATCTCTGTAATAGGCTCTTCAGACAAAGCTATTATTTTCCTCCTCATCCATGAAAATGAGCTTGTGCTACAGGGGAAATGCTGCAAGACAGGGCCAAGCAATCTCATTTCCCTCGGAAGCTAATTTCCATTAAGATTGAAGAGCCTTTTACCAGCAGAAAATTTTCTTGTCTCCTTTCCAGCGTGGA